AAAATGGCCGCCAGTCGGCCATTTCCGAACTTGATCGAAAAAAAAAAATGACGTGCATCAAGGTCTATTATGTTTAATGTATGTACCAAATATGAACGAAATCCGTCCATTCATAACTGAGATCAGGGTCCGGAATGGTGAAAATGTGCGATTTCAATGCATTTTCGGCCTTAAAGCGGCCGCCATTTGGCTATCGTTAATGGGATCATGAAACAAATGCACATACATATTTGTGACATGATGTACCTTGTGTGTGTGAAGTTTGAACTTGATCAATCCAGACATGTCTCGGATACGGATCCAGAACTGAATTCTTTAAAACAAAATGGCCGCCAGTCGGCCATTTCGAACTTGATCCGAAAAAAAAATGACGTGCATCAAGGTCCTATTATGTTTAATGTATGTACCAAATTTGAACGAAATCCGGCCATTCATAACTGAGATCCGGGTCTGGAATGGTGAAAATGTGCGATTAAAATGGCCGCTATTCGGCTATCTTTAATCGGATCATGAAAAAAATACATGTGCATATGTCCCATATAATGTGTGATGTATGAGTGAAGTTTGAACTTAATCGGTCCATGCATGTTCGAGATACAGGTGATCACGGACGCACGCACGCACACAGGGCAAAACATAAGTCCCCGTTTTCGGACTACGTCCAATGGGGACTAATTAAGTTCTAAATTAAAGTTATAAAGCATAATGTCAAATACATAATTTTCACTATTTTCGCGGAAGGGATGACTGTGAGAATAAAATCCAGTGAATATATATTTTTCCTATGTTTTACATTCAACTCATCAAAAATCAGTGAAATTAAACTGCATACAAAACACCCAAAGTGTCTTTTCACCGAAAATTAATTCAAGCTAAAATAAAGTATTACACAGTAAGTGAGATAAAAAGGTGAGTGTGTATTCTTGTACCACTAGAGGGCGCCACTGCTGTTTCAGATGGGCACTTACCTGTAATATGGTTCCCTGTGGTGATGCAACATTGTATTTACATTGTTGATTTGGAGAATACTTGTAAGGGTAACCAGTAGATGTAAACAAACCCTCTTCACCAGATATCATTGTATCTTCACACTGTGTGTCTGTAGAGAAAATATAGATTATTAAATATCTCATGAAATTTTAGCAGTTTGTAACACAATATGTCAATTTCTTCAACTGTAGTATCATTATCATGTAGTAGATCATTCAATCTCTGACTGAATTACTAGATTAAGCGAAACCCAATTATTGCTATAACTAATAGCTATTGAGTACAAAATTCAGTCAAAACATAATATGTATCAAGAAAAATCTAAACAGCTGATACAACTCTGTTGTTAGTGATGCACATTTCATAAGCAATCTGTAGCACAGTGTAAGAAACATTGATTTGATACGAGATATTTTAATTAAGAATAGTCTAATTAAACAACAAACTAGGGGGACATAATTCTGAGGAAGAACCACCCAAGGTATAATTGTATGAAATCTATATAGCTGATGTTTTTAATAAGCAGTTGTAAAGTTGAAGCTGACTGATGACAGACAATGGACAATTAATTATAAATATAGAGTCAGAGCCAAAAACAAACATGTACATTTAATTTGTCCTTACCATTGTTCATTGTATTATTATTTGGTTCAGGAATACTGACAGCTATGGCTAGAAATCCTTTGTCGTTGTATGCGCCATCACTGATAAATTGAACAAGAACGTCCTCTTCACTACTAACAAATCTGGGTGGTATGGCATGACCACAGAATAAACCAAGACTTGTGTTAGTAAGAAATGCACCATCAAACACTTCAACATGATCATAAGCACAGCCAGGTTGAAACTCAACTTTGAATTTGATAAATTCTAAGTAGATTCGGTTTCCTTAGAAAAAAAAGCATATATATGAGAAAATAGGTTTTATGAAAAAGATGATACTCCTATACATTTATGTTCGGATACATAAATTGCTGTGTGGATGTGCAAATCAAATACTAACCTTGATGGGTACCCATATGATATGTACAGTGCTCATCTGCCTGATATCTGCGTGGCCATCGTGGTGAATGAAATACAAAACTTTCATAGCTTTCTAAATAATGATCAGTTTCTGGAGGACAGTCTGACACTACCACATGAATGAAGATAGCAAGCAGCACACTGATAAGAAGAGCAAACTTCAAACTGGTGTCCATGGTTATGGACGATGACACTGTGAACACAATTAAGATTTTATGTAAAGTTCCGACAGTAGCAATATTGGATGGACAAGAGTATACAGATTTTTTATTATTAATATATATTGAGGTAGAATAAATGGGGATAATGAAAATTCTAACAATGTAATATTCCTACAACACCACTGGATAAACATTTATCACAAGATTTCAATGTAATCTTCCTACAACACCATTGGTCAAACATTTATCACATGATTTCAATGGATTCTTCCTACAACACTATTGGTCAAACATTTATCACATGATTTCAATGGAATCTTCCTACAACACCATTGGTCAAACATTTATCACATGATTTCAATGGAATCTTCCTACAACACCATTGGTCAAACATTTATCACATGATTTCAATGTAATCTTCCTACAACACCATTGGTCAAACATTTATCACAAGATTTCAATGGAATCTTCCTACAACACCATTGGTCAAACATTTATCATGATTTCAATGGAATCTTCCTACAACACCATTGGTCAAACATTTATCACATGATTTCAATGTAATCTTCCTACAACACCATTGGTCAAACATTTATCACAAGATTTCAATGTAATCTTCCTACAACACCATTGATCAAACATTTATCACATGATTTCAATGGAATCTTCCTACAACACCATTGGTCAAACATTTATTATGATTTCAATGGAATCTTCCTACAACACCATTGGTCAAACATTTATCACAAGATTTCAATGTAATCTTCCTACAACACCATTGGTCAAACATTTATCATGATTTCAATGTAATCTTCCTACAACACCATTGGTCAAACATTTATCACAAGATTTCAATGGAATTTTCCTACAACATCATTGGTCAAACATTTATCACAAGATTTCAATGTAATCTTCCTACAACACCATTGGTCAAACATTTATCACAAGATTTCAATGTAATCTTCCTACAACACCATTGGTCAAACATTTATCACAAGATTTCAATGTAATCTTCCTACAACACCATTGGTCAAACATTTATCACAAGATTTCAATGTAATCTTCCTACAACACCATTGGTCAAACATTTATCACAAGATTCCAATGTAATCTTCCTACAACACCATTGGC